TCTTCTCCAATACCATCCCCTAACCAGGCTGTAAAAACATAATTACACGAAGAGCACTACACTGAGCTGATAAACCTATTTCACATTTAACCTGCTAAGCCGTTGTTAGCTTTTAAGATGCTTGATGCATTCACTTAAAATCTCCCCATTCCAACATGAAATACAAGACAAGGTTTGGAATTGCTTGGCCCTCCCCTGTTGTGTTACCTTTTTATGCTGATTTTTAGAAAGAGTGCACTTCTGTCTTGGCAAGGAGTCATCCCAGAAGTGTGATACCCCAGAGCTGTGTGCCTGATGGGATTGGGGGGAGCTGCAAGGTGGAAATCCTGTTAAGCATATTGTGAGGCTAACACAGGGATCAGTTGGTTATACTGCTCAAGCCGGCAATTTACTCTTTAATTCTCACTGGCCACCAGTTGGCTCTCAGAACCAATGCCTGGAAATGGCAAGTTTGGAAATGTCAGCGAGTGCTTAGTTTCTTCCAATATCTGTGTCAATTGGCGGGGTGTTTGTTCATTCTTAATCACCTGTCTAAAATTCATCAGGCGCTCACTGCAACAACAAAATATTGCCCCTTGTTTTCTCTAAAACACTAACACAGTGCCTGAACCTGGGGCAAATGGGGCATTCCTATTGGAAATCACTCTCAGGGATGTGTTAGCATTGGCAAAGAGGTGTAATTCTGCTCTACCTCTGCACAAACTCACAGAAAGCAAATTATTTTTTATAACACAAAATATATTAGTTTTAATGTGGGATTATTTAACTTTTTTAAAGTGACTGTAGCTCTAAATATTTTTGTTTTAAGTCCCATTGTGGCTGTTTTGTTGCGGCCTGGACTTTCTTTATACAGAAAAAAATCACACCCAGAAATATTGCTTTAAAAATCCACTACTGGGTTTAAAAAAAAGAATTTTAGGTCTTACTTTTAAAAAATTAAAATATTAGAGACCAGTTAAAATTAACTGAGAATAGTTTTCATGTGATTGTCCAAATCTTTGCATGTGGAGGCAGACAAGGAAGCAAAGGAGCATTTTAGGTTTAAAGATCATTTTCATCTTGTGTTCAGTCCACTCAATTCATAACTCCCTGTGACTTGAAATGCAATGAGCAGATAGTCTTGAAAAAATTTTTTTACTGGAATTTTTTCAAGATTGTCTGAGTGGGGCTGAAGCAAATTCTGTGTAAGATGTGGGGTTGGCCAAATAATAAATAAAAATAAAAACTTACATCAGCACCCATTTTTCATCAGATATTTTAGTCCACGTGAATCCCATTTCAGGAAAACCACAAAAAGTTCATTATCAGAAAAAATTACTTCCTGAGGTAGAACAAACTCAGCAATACAATAAGATTATATATTTATTTTTCCCGTTTTACCTAGTGAGGGAATTTGGAGAGAGAAACACTGCTTCACAAGAACTCTGGCATGTAGCCCTTGGGTTCTGGCACAGAAGCAGGATTGCTGTGTGCTGTAGTGAACTAGGACAAACACAGTTCATGAAGATGCTTCAGTGGTTCCTCTCCAGAGAAAAGCAAATTGTTCTTGCCTGGATGTTGCAGGCATCAGAGCATTTCTGTATCACACTGGTCTGTGTGTCCCTCAGCACTCCTGTTCCTGCTGGGTGTCTTCACCTGAGGAAAAATGGCACAGCACTAAAGGAGGGACAGAGAGACATGTAGGAAATTAGTTATGAACAGAAATTAATGAGGTTTGGGCAGTTTGGGTATTACTCTAAACCTGAATTAAGAACTAAGAGATTCTCTCAATTAATTTCCAAAGAAATGTCAACTGCTACCCATCTTTCTCAATTCCTGAAGTACCAGGACTGTGCCCTTTTGTTGCCTTTTGACAAAATCTCTGGCAGACATAGCTCAGCTGATGGGATTTATGGTCTTCAAAAATGGAAGGTAAAAATGTATTAGACAATTTTATTGTCTAATAATTAATAGTTCAAGAATTATGTTGGTTACCAAACTGCAGTGCTGAAATGGATTTGTAAAAGTAGAGAACCTGCTAAACTAGAGCCTAAGCAGGTTTTAATCCATTCTTTCTAAATGCTGTCTGTCCGAAGTGAGGAATCTGTGAAAGAGTGATAATCCCTGTTTCTCCTTATCAAATTTACTGGAGCAAGATAAAAATCTGCTTATCTCCACTTTAATGGAGATATACCATGAAATGGACAGAGACAGAACTTGATAAATGGCTTATTTATCACAGGTCAGCTTTTTTCCAACATGAAATCTGTGTTCAGACATATCAGATTCTTTAGCCAAACCTCACTTCCTCCCATGTTTTCCCCAGAAAGATCTAATACAGAAGAGCACAGTTGTCACAAGCAAAGTAAAGAGAGGGTGGTTAGTTTTTAAATTGGAGTAATAATTAGGGAAGCAAATCACAGTACACATAATACCTTTAATGAAAGATTTTTATGGTAGACATATGTTCGTATTTTCTTGTTTAGTGATTTTTTTCATTACCTTTTGTATGGATTTGGGGTATTTTTTGGCTGTGGAAAGGCAAGTTATGATAGCATTGGTGTCACATTCAAAAAGAAAAGTGTTGAACAAATACTTATTTGGAAGTAAGTTTTGAAACAGCAACCAGAATACAGGGATTGGATGCTGTCATTAAGGATGGCCCTAAAAATGCTTTATAACCAGCTCTTATATCTGTATAAATTTGCTCTCTCTGGCAACACACATTCAGGTTGAGTTCCACAGAATGGAATGGGGAGTTTTGCTGAACTATCCAGCTCCATTGTACCAGATGGTACCGTATGGAGGTAACACTGATCCTATGACTCTGTTGATTTGTAATTAGGTTTCTAGCAATTAATATAGTTTGCAGGCCTTGCATGAACTCTGCAGATTGTCCATTCATGTAAATGATTAACTGAAAGGGGATTAATCCTGGCAGAAGTTCAACCAAAAAAGAATTTTCCAGACTGAAAATCTTCTCTACCAGTCTAATCTCTTGTAATAGAGACTGCAAGTTAAGTTTGCATTTGTGTAGCTCCATTTTAAAAGGAGTAACTTGATATCTGAGTGTTAAAAGTATCTGCACTGTGTGTATAAATGTACATTTTGTGCAATAGGTCTATAAGTCTTGCTTTTTATGGAATTCAAAATGCATATCCAATATGACTTAGTAGTTGGAAAAATCTACTTGTTGTCACTGCTATTTAATAGGAGGTAATGTAAATTCTGGCTTTGAAAAAAAGAATATGGTCTAGAATTCTACAGTTTGTGTTTAGCTGCTCATGCTGGAATATGCAAAGGTTGGAATTTTTACAGCTGTAATAAATCAGTGACAACAGGGGCTGTCACACAGCTCTGCACACAACCAGCTCATCCAGCACTAGCCCTTGCAAGACTATCGCAGAATCCCAGAGTGATTATTGGGTTCAAAGGGACTTTAAAGCTCATCCAGTTCTAACCCCCTTCCATGGACAGGGACACCTTCCCCTCTCCCAGGCTGCTCCAAGCCCTGTCCAGCCTGGCCTTGAACCTGGCCTTGTCCTGCCACGTGTGCAGCCCCTCCAGATCAGGCAGGCATTCCCTGAGGAATGGTCCTTCCAGCCCATTGTGTGTGCACTCTCTTCTGAAGGAATTTATCTGGCCCTAAAGCCAATCCCTGTGGCTCTGGGGATCACCTGGCTATAAAGAAAGTCAACATCAAATTAGTGGGTGACACAGATGTTTGGCACAGCATCAGTGCCAGCTGAGGCATTCCCAGCTGTGTGGGCAAGGCTGAATTCCCCTGCATCAGTTATGAGGTGTCAGAGTCAGAGGGTGGATGGAAGGGACAGAGCAGGAGAGAGAGGATGGAGAGAGCTGTGGAGAGCATGGTTTGATGCATGTGGCTGGGAAAGATGAGGGCAGCAAACCTGGTGCTGGACCAGGCCACTCTTCCCTTACCTTCCCTTGGCAGCAGCTCCTGGCCCATGTGTCCAAGAGTGGGATACCTGGCACTGCCAAAGTCAGCCATGGGGCAATGAACACTTTTCCAGCCCCACCAATTTCCTTGCTCCATGCAATTTCCCCCAACAAATCAAGCCAGGCAAGAGAATCCTGCAGAGAGGCAAAGCTGGGGAAGGGAACTGCCATGGAAGCAAACAAGGCTCACAGTGTTGTTATGTGCTGCTGCAGCACTCAGACTATCAATAATCTCTAACAGATAAATATCCCACTTCATTACATTCTATATAAATATTGGGCTGAGTGCCTCCCTGATGTAACTGTGATTGCATGACAGCAAGAATGGGTTTAGTTCAGTGTGTTTAGACTCTCCATTATTTTAACCAGATGCTTGGGGCTTTGTTTTCCTTTAGTGGATAATAAGGGCCATCCAAAACAGAGTTGCTGATTTGCTTGGGTTTCATTGAAAGAGACACTACTAAAGGGAGAGGAAATCCCCAAAATGATACTCAGTGATTAAGCACATAGAATATAGGATTTCAGTGTTTGCAAATCCTTTTTTTCAAATGAACTTGTGGCACTAATCCTCTAATGGCATTATTTCTTTGGAATATATGCCGGATTAAGGAGTCACAATGAGGCAAAGTACAAAAATCCACATTAATCTCTCCCCGATGGATGCTGTGTGGGATGCAACTTAAACTATTTTGTTCCAAAATTGGTTATGTTCCTAACCTTGCCCCAGGTCTAGACAGAGGGAAGAGTAGATATAAACAAGTGTGACACTGAGCGCTTGGCAGATGGTCACAGGCCTTTTAACTGGATAGAAAGGGGAAGGCGTCTATTATTTTTAAACTCCAAAAGCTAAGCCTGCCCTGTGCTGTCCGTGACATGCTGCAGGAAGCAGACACAGGGCGCTGAGAGGAGCAGGACACCTGCTCAGAAGTGTGGCAGGGAGGAGAGGGGCAGAGCAGCAAATGGGGCATGGCTGGGCCTGGCTGTTGTGATGTTCACATGTTCACAGCACAGCCTGGGCTCATTGCAAAGTGCTGCTCATGTTTGCAGTCTAGTGCAGCCACCTCGCTCTCCTCAGCCTGCTTTTTGGGGGGATAATCCTGTTAGCACCTCTTCTGTCATAGCTGATGTAAAAAAAGATAAGGATTTGCTTTTTAGGAAGAGGAATCACTGTGTTTCCCTTCTGACTGGATTACAGGGATGCTGTCAGAGTGCCCTGGAGTATTGTCACTGTCACTCAACAGCCTCAATGGTGAAAGAACCTCTGAATTGGCAGCACATCACCTGAAATACTGATGTCAGAGCATGTGAGCCAGCCCGGCCTAACCACTGTAATCAGTGCTTAACATGCTTAAAGGTTTCCCCAGTTTCACAGGACAGAGATTATCAAATATTCCCATTCCTTGTTCTCATTGAACTGCAGGGGGCATTGAGAAGTCTTGGGCCAGGAGAACCCAGGACATGCTCACAAACACAGGTTGCTTGGTCTCTGCTTCATTCCCAGTCACTCTGCTGTTAAGCACAAGCAAAGAACTGTCAAATTGATTTCTTCACCAACAGAAATACTGGGATTTTCCATTGTCTGCATAGCTGAGATGCCTGGACACCTGAATTAGCACAAATTCCTGATGTGGATACAGCTCTGTAGTGAGATGCTGACTTCAGAAACAGAGACAGGACAGCCACTCCTGGTGTCAGAAAACCCTAAAGTCAACTTGGACATCCTTTCTGTTTGGGAATAGAAATGTGCCCTCCTTTTCTACAGAGAAAGATGGTTGATCACAATGGTTTTGTGCATTTCTAGCTGCTGTAAATGTTTCCCAGCACGGTACCTCCCATGGGCAAGAGGATTTTCCTGATATTCACTTTTTCTTCTCATCTTACCCTGTTGACTTCTTGCAGCACCCTGTGCCTCATTCCACCCTGCCTGAATCCTTTGTCTAGTTTCATTCTGAGTCAAGCTTTTCCTCAGGCTGGTGTCTGCTCAGCTGCTTGCAAAGGAATTGTTGGTTTTGTTTACCAGCTTTATCATTCCCCACCAAAATCACTCCAGTTTGCATCTGTCTTTAGTGTATACAGACAGTGGATGGTCCTTTGTGTTTAAGGAAGTAGAAATTATATTGCACCAGGTGAGCAGGAAATGATAAGGGAAACGGAGAGTTTGCCACAGGAGGGGAGAAAGGTTTGGCTGGTTTAGCCTGCAAAAGGCAAGACCTCATAGACTGAAAAAGATTATCAAGGCTAAAGAGATTCAGCATAAATGGCCATGAGTAGGGTAAAGACAGAAATTGTGATGTTCACCATTGAGGAAATGGGACTTTAGGACAGACAGACAAAAAAAAGGTGCAGTGGAGTTTGAAGTATGCATAAGGTGTGTCTAATGATTGCATTGTAATGTTGTACCATGGTGTTGTCCAGAAGATGATTGTGACTTCTCTTGTGTCTCCTAAAGTGATCGAGAGTGTCAGTCCTCCCTTTTTCTGACTGAGCTGTGCCTCCGGCACTATTGCTGAGCAGTATGGACAAAAGGGGTGGGAAAACAAAGAGCTTTTCTCCAGGTACTCCTGTAATCTGATCTCTGAGGTGACTCAGCCTCTCTCAACAACAGCTGTCTCGGGGCATGCAGTGGTTTGTGAGCAGTAGCGAAGATTTTGCTGCCACTTCCTGATTTCTGCCTTCAGAGCCATCGAAGCTGGGACATGATCCGAGCATTTAAATGGACTTCTCAGCCCCAGGACCGGCAGACTTTGGGACACAGTACAGAGGAATAGAGGCATCAGGAAAGAGCCCACAAACCACTTGTGCAGAGCTGTCAAACGGATGAAGACAGAAACTTGTGAGAGAAAACTGCATGGAAAGTTCCTATTAAGGAAAGGAGTGAGGTTTTGTTTGCGTTCTGTGGCTCACCTATCACACAAAGCCTGAAAGCACTGTAAAAACTGAAAAGTGTGAAAGGGAACCTCAGGTGTACCCATGGAAAAGACAGGTATGTTCTTTGTTTAAAATAATGCCTCTCTACAGCAGGAAATCACAGCCAGGGAAAGCAGCACTGCTCTAGAGCTCAGCAACTGTGCATGTACATCAAGGTACCTTGGTTTGTACCATTTTTGTATTTCTAAGGAATACAACTGTGATAACGCATAAATGCCAGATTTTAAACATTGGCTCAGCTTTTTGTGATTGTAAATGCTCTGCTCTTGAGCACTTGTATTGTGACTATCATACATGGTTGGATGAAGGCAACGGTGACAAATTCTCAGTGTATCTGCCATTATGAAAACAAGTAAGCAAGAGTAAACATTACTAAATTCTAATTCTAATTCACACTTAATCTGTCTGCTGATGCCCTAAAAGATGACCAGAACTGCCAGGATAAACATGAAGAGGACAACGCAAAGAGTTCCCCATTTGACTTTGTTATAAAACAATTCCAAGGAAAGAAGTGTGCTCCTGAAAAAAGGAAAGAGCAGCCTTCAGCCATCAAACAATTCTTCAAAGGCTTTGAGTTTGGGAAATCTGAAGGCAAGGACAGAAGGGAAATTGAAGAAATAGAAATAAGCAATGACGAAGCTGATGATCAGAGTGAAAAGCAAGAGCTCTCTGTAGAAGGTAATGCTGGTACAATAATGAAACATGTGTATGTGTAAATATTTTAATTTTATAGAAATCCTGTATTTGCTGCCTACAGTTTAGGATTTACTGTAGCCAGGATTTACTTCTGATTGGAACATTATCAAGGATGTACCCTCTGATTTGATAGGTGCTAAGCAAGGAGTTAGATCCACATTGCTGAGGAAGAGTAAAGTTTTTGGGTGACCTCTCTTGATCTGCAATGTGAGAGTAAGAGCTAAAGTCAGCTCTGAGCAGTAGCTTGGCCTGTTGTGTTTAAGATGGGTCTCTGTCCTGCTAAAGCAGTCTGAAGACAGCAGGAGCAGATGTTTCCTATCACTTGGCACTGGGCAGGGAAAGGGAATGGGAATCCCTCATTGATGTTATTTTGCACACACGAGGATTCTCTTTACATCCACTCCAGAGAAAATTGAACTATTTTTCAAAAGGAGATGGAAGGTGAAGCTTAGAACCCTATTCTTTGTCCTAAGGGGTCTGGGTCAGTTTGGGGAATGATAAGAGGGCAGCTACTGAGAGTGGATTGCTATTTTCTGTAATTTTTTTTTTTTTTTTTTTTTTGCTTTGCAAAGCTCAGAAAAGCAGGAACTACCTTACACAGATGTTGTATGAAAATGCGGGAGGACTTTTGTATTAATTTGATCTATAGTGATCCTATCAGTCAGGTTGTTGATCCAAATAGATGAAAAATAGAGCCTGCTTTATTGTCAGATTTAATTCATTTCCTAAAGTCTTCACCTGGCAGCCTCAGGCAGGTTTTACACCTTGTGTTTATTAGCAGAGGTAACCAGGGCCCTATTTCTTTGTTGCTCAGATGGACTTTCACATCTCATTTCTGAAGCAGAGTCACCATCTGGTGAGCAGAGATTTAACCAGTTCATGGAGAAACTGGGAAAGGAACCCAGCAGCAAGAATCTGGATCTAAATAATTGTGCACTGAGTGCAGAAGATATAACAGAGTTGGGTAAATGCACATTTTGTTCAACTAATCACTTCATGTATTTCTTTAATTTTTATTTGCCTGTTCTATTATTACCTCTCCTCTTTTCCCTTCCCTTTCTTTTATACAGGCCATTTTAACATTTCATCTAATGGTCCAAGGTCTCTGAGAAATATTAATTAATAAATGATGTCAATTATGTAATATATATAAATATAGAAATCACCTAGGTCTGTGAAGCAGATTATTGTCCTTACACTAGAGCTACAGATAAGAAAAGTGAGGTACAAATTGTCATTGGCTTTATAATTCTGTATTGGTTGTAGAAAACATCTCAATACCAAGACATAGTGTGTGCAGAAACATGAAGACAGAAAAGCTTTTTCTTTTCTTTCCTTACAGCTTCTTTACTGCCATTTCTCCCAGAGCTGGAAGAGCTCAGCCTGTCCTGGAATGGTTGTGTTGGAGGCTCTTTGAAAGCTCTCACTGTCCATCTTCACCACGCGAGCCTGTTAAAAGTCCTCCGACTTAACAACTGCCGGCTGACAGCTGAGGATGTCATCTCCTTAGGTACAGGATTGCACTTGCATTTACTTCCAGACAGCTTGGGGCTGATGTAATCCATCTCATCTCTTCCTACATCCTACTCCTGCTGCTTCCACACTGGGCAAAGTAAACTCCTGCTGTGAAACAGTAGAAACTTGGGCTTATGGGTGACCTTACACCTTTAGGTAGCTCTGCAGAGTTCATTCCTCAGGGAGTGAAGCTTTCATACTCAGAAGGGAAGAGAATCCAGTCCTATTTGCAAGCAAGAATATTTTTAATTTGGATTGCTTTTTTTTGGCCTAGAAGCAGAGTAAATCACAATAGGGTCAGCTTAGGCCTTGGAGCTGCAGGACAGGTGAGTGCTCATCATGAAAACCCCAATGGTCTTTTGGGAGAAGGCTTGAAACCAGAGGTGCTGCCTCAGAGCTTTATGATTTGGTGTTTTTTCAACTCTGGGAGAAATTTATTTCTCTGCTTACTTCTGTGATTGGAGTGCCTGCACCCTGCTTTCTGCAAAGTGAGAGATGGAAAGGTTTTTCAGGTGGTGTTGCACACTCAGGTTCTGGCATGGAGTCACCTCTGGGCCTGGAGTTTACTCTGGAGTGGATCTGTGGTTTGTATTTAAAAGAAGGGCAAACACAATCAATTAGAAATTATAAAAGTCATTGCTTATTTTGAAAGTTCTAAAATGGGTCTGAGTTATAGAGCTGGGCTTTGTTTATGTCATTCATATCCAAGCCTTTTCCAGGAAAGGTTCAGAAATAAAATGACATATATGGTGTAGATCAAAAGTGAGTCATGCAATCTCTTGGGGAGGAAAGAAGCATCTCTACAAAAGCTGGTGAAAATAACTGCTCTGTTTCTGATGAGTGTGAAATCTGTATTTAATTTTCTATTATTTTTTCAAATTTATTTCATTTTTTTCCAAACCCTTCTCATAGATTTGGTTTTTGTTTGTTGGTGTTTTTTTTCTCCTTCTGAATTTTATTGGTTATTTTTGCAATTGATTCTTTCTGCCAGGTTCTTCAATGGCTGTTTCCTTCCCAGTTCAGTTTAGCTTCTGCTGGGACAGACAAAATTGATCACAGAACTTGAATTTCCAGACAAAATGTGATGCCCTTGACATGTGGGATAGCAACAATCACTTTACATCGATTTTTCCTGTGATTTTGAAAACAACTTGTGTATTTAGGCCAATCCTGGCTGTGTGACCTTGTCCACATATCTCTGCAGAAATGTGGCCTCTTGTGGACTCAGCACATCCTGCTTAGAAATCAATGTCTGAAATATAACCATAATATCAACCTATTCTATGTAGTTGCTCAGAGCTTGACTGTGAAAGGTGATTGGAAACAATTCCTGGAGTTATATTCCTTTATTTATCTTCTGGGAGGAAAATGTGCTTGGAAATCTATAGTCCTCATGTCAAACAGAAACAGGCTATGCTGCACTTCTCAACTGTAGCGCATTGCTCAGTATTCAACACCGAGGCAACAATTTAAAATAAGTGCAAAAATAAGAATTAAAATGTGGCCTTTGCTCTCAAACCCGGATATTCACTTATGGAAGTAATTATTTTTCTATTATAAATCTTTTGTGAAAAATTAATTATGAAAACCACACAGACATGAAAGGATGTTACTATTAAAATACATTTCTCAATTATTAGACTTTAGATCAAAAAAATGTGTATGACACTTTGAAATTGCGTTTGCATATGGTCTGATTAATTGATCTTTCTTGGGAATGAGTTTATGCAAATATGCTCTGCCTCTCTCCTCTACAAAGGAAATTAGGAAGCTGGATTTTATAGTGGGATGTTAGTATTTCACATAAGCACTAACACAGTTCACATTGACAGGTGTGTCAAGCCTTGAAAATGCTGATTTTTCTGAGTGTAGTAAAAGTCAGTTCTGTCTGCCTTGAAATCATGGGAAAGTTAGTTTGAGTCAAAACAGTGCTCATCTTGGTTTCTTATGAAGTGATTCAGAGATTCCTGTCAGAAATGAAACTTTCATGTTTCAGAAACAGTTGTGAGAGGAATTCTTTCATTCCCTCCAAAATGACCTGTAGATGCAGTACAGAGGATGCTGGAAATTTTCCAAATAAAACAGAGCAGAACTCTACAGGACAGTAAATTCAGACTTGTCACTTGTATTGATTTCCCTCTAGACTGGACTTTCTGGTCCCAGCACAGGCCTAACATCCTGATGGGAGCTTGGGAACCTGAATAAATTTCAGGTTTGTGTGCACTGTGACAATGACTTGTGATCTATGTTGCTCCTTCACAATGTGAGATTTTATACAACATTGCTGCATAAGCAATAATTCATTTATTTAACAATTTTCTTGGCAAGACATTCATCATAAAGTAATTTGAGTATTAAGTAGCTAACCTTCCTCTTTAATATATTCCAAACCTGTATTTTGTTTGCACTGAAATTGATACATGGAATGACTCATTCTAGAATTCTGTTGCAGGAGAGGCATTTGAAATTGTTTCTCAGCTTGAAGAACTGGATTTATCATGGAACAGTAACATTGGTGGTAAACTATCACTGCTGACAAAAAAACTTCAGGAAGGATGCAAATTAAAATGTCTGAAAATGACAGACTGTAACCTGACAGCAAAGGATGGAGAATCCCTTGGTATGTGTGTCCATGGAGCTGGGCTGAGGCTGGCTTCACAAAAATGAACTTATTTGACTTAGATAATGGCTGTATTGAGCTCAATATCAGTGAAAAGTTAATTTATTTCAAGCTCTGCATTATAACAGTATTTATGATGTGGGGATTTAGTGCACTTGCTTCCAAAGAAGAAAGTTCTCTCTAATCATATGAGGGAGGGTTGAGAAGATCTAAACCACAGCCTCAGTGGTCTGGGGTTTCTGGATCTTTTGAGACCTTCAGCAAAAAATGTGTGCCAGAATTTCCAACACTAATTGCTCAAAATTAAGCAGCTGAATATGTAATTAGCCATGGGATTGGAAAGAAGGTCTGAGGATTGGGAATTTAGGCTGAGTTGGCAACCACTGACCATCCTTCCCTTCTGTCCTCTCACCATAGCAGCTTAATCCTGTGTGGTCTTTATATCTCATTGTGTGTTTTAAAAGGTGTTTACTCAGTAAAGAGAAGCCCCATGGCTGTAATCTCCTCTGCAGGAGGAGCCCCACATGTAACAGACATTCCTTTGTATTTTCATTAGAAAATTTTATTTCTGTTTGTATTTCTGCTTTTTATTCCTCTGTATTTTTCTAACAGTCCCTGTATTTTTTCCACTTTTATTTTTAGAAATGTTTTTTACAGATTTTCATGATTCCTACCCAGTCTTTATTTACTGTGTTGTTTAGGTAGAACAGGAACTTAGCAAGTCTAAACCACACTGACAAGCAAACCCTGGCCATGTCTTCCTGTTTATCATGGTGCTGTATTTTTTAAGGGTTCATCTGTATGTATTCTAGACAATTACCAATTCTGGTTTTCTTTTCTCTTTTATTTTTCCCCAGCTGAATTTCTAAATGTGATCCCAGACCTCGAAGTATTAGATATCTCTATCAACAAAAACATTGGCTGCAGCATGAAGGTTATTGCTCAGGATCTGAAAAATGTGCCAGGCTTGAAAGAGTTAAACTTGCACATGTGTGGATTAAAGCAAGACAGCCTCCAGGGCTTAGGTTAGACTTTATGTTCAGAAAACTTTCATTCTGAATATATTGTACATCTGAAAACCATTTAAGAAAGGCAATGAGGTGGGATTTTGCTGATGGTTTGGCAGTATTAATGGGCAATCATGATTTGCTGTTTGAGGATTGGTAAAAGGCTCCAGGGCCTTTCAGCAGGAGCTGAATTTATCTTCCCTCAGCTCAAGCTTGTGAAAGTCAGTGGGGAGAGTCACCCTCCACATCATTTATCTGAGACACATCTCAGGCTGTGGCTCCCTGGATGTGCTTCCTCTTTCCCCAGACAGGACATAGACAAGGACACACACAGCCCAGCTAACTTCTAACAAGGTAATGCTGCTTTCCAGAGGAAATCCAAATTCACCATTACCTCTTAAAGTGTCCAGTGAAGCTACATGAAATGGTCTTGCTATCTCTCTCCCTAGTGGATGTGGCAAAACACCTGGCATTAATGAGCACATCCAGCAGTAATTTCTGCAAAAGGCTGAGGATTGACAGCATGTGGGGGATGAGCTGGCCTCACCTTCACCTGCTCTGCCAGAGAAGAATGGAGCTGCATGGACAGGGAGGCTTTGCTGCATTACTGAGTGTCTGCTGTGATTATGCACTGCAGCTTAGCCCAGGAGCTTTGCCTGCAATACCTTGTGCAAAGTTTGACGTTGAAGTAAATAAATGGCAAAGCCCTGACCTGGGCTGTTGTGGCAGCCAGTGACCAGCCTGTTCCCTTTTGCATTTCAGACACTGCTTTACAGCACCTTGCAGAGCTAAGGAAATTAGACATCTCGTGTAACAGAGAGATTGGTGGCGGCTTTAAAGCCTCAACAGCTCATTTGGCCAGCTTGAAAAATCTGGAAGTCCTTGATCTTCACCAGTGCTGTGTCACAGAAGAGGACATGACTGTTTTGTGTAAGGACATGTTGAGGAAATTTATTAAGAATCTTGGTTTTGTCTTCTGAAAATATCTCGAAGACATAAAAGATTCTGCCTGGCAGAAGAGCTGAACTCAGTACTTTTTTTCATCAGGCAGCTCTGAAAATGCAGTGTGGGAGAGGGCTTTCTTGATCAATATGGAATGGATTTTTGGTGAACAAAAGGAAATTTCAGAGTGTCTGATCCCATGTGGAACTAAAGAGCTGAATCTGCCATGATTCAGACCCACAATGTGGGTCTGCCACCAAATGTGGGAACTGCCACCAAACACTATTATTTTTTTGATAATCAGTAATTTAAGAAACATCCAGGGGCAGTTCCCCCAGGGGTATAAGTTGGATGGATCCATGGGGGATATGTGCATGGAAATAAAACAGCCTAAATCCCCCTTGGTGAGCTGCACACCAAGAAGAGGGTGATTTTAGGAGACCTTGCATTGCTGCTGCTGCTATGTGCTTTCTTCAGATTGAATTGATGCAACTATAAACACTACTATGAAGAAAAAGGCATTTCCCAATGAATTTGTGAAAGTTTATTTCTCTCTCTTCTTCATCATAACTTTGTTTCTACTCTTAACAATAAAAAATCCCATGACTCAAAGCCTATATTGCCCACATCCTATTTTTTATGACAAAGAAGATAATTTGGAGATTTGATCATGATGATGAAGCTTTAGGAAATAATCAGAATTAGTAATATCAATCCTGATTTGTTTTTAATTTATTTTATAATAGAGAAAAATAACATTAAAACAAAGAAGTTTCACTTAGCAATGAAGACATTTGGAAATTCCCTACTTCACCCAGAAAATTTCCAGGAAGCCATGTTCTGACAACCTTCCATATAGTATGGAATACTTAACTGCTGAAACAGTTTTACTGAAAATGACAAGGCTATTTATGGTCTTAAACATTACTCACCAAGAACTTGGGTGTAAAAACTTGGCTGGTCTTGACTTTTGGATTGATTTATAAAGAAAAGAAATTATGTCAGGCTACACAACAATTATGTCAGGTTATGCAACTACACATTTGTTATGGATCAGTGACATTCTAATAAATATTTCATGTTTTTGTAGCCCAGGTGATACCTTTACTCTCCAATCTTCAAGAGCTGAATTTATCCTCGAATAAAAATGTAGGACTCTCATCAGATCCTCTTCTGGGCAGGCTCAGGTTTTTACCAAAGCTGAGATCTGTGACCATCAGCAATTGTGGCTTAGGTGAAGAGTCCCTTTCATCACTAGGTAGGAATTTTTCTTTAAAGTGTGCCCATTCTCTGTGTATCCCTGTAGGACAAAGCATTCCCTTCTCCTCTGGCTGAACTCCAAGGATCATGGTTACATTATACCTCAGGTCCTGAGTGAAAAGCCTGTGATGAAACCAGTGCTTTGTGGGACCAGGTTGCAAGGGAAGAGAATTGTGTGACTTCCTCTACTGTACCTGAGGGGATGAAGTTCTTTTAGTGCTTTGTCTGATAGAGAGCTTTTATATACCCCTTAATTTTGGGGGAAAAAAGAAAAACATTATTTTAATTAAGCTGAAATCATAGTCTGGATGTAACACTTCACTCAGTGGGGTAAAGCTTTGACTGAGGGTATTTAACCTCACTGTAGGTGAAAATTTCAGTAGAAACTTTCTGGGGCAGAGTTCAGCATGGGGCAGTGGAGGAAATGACTGCAGGGGTGGAAAAGACATTGCATAGCTGTGAAGAAAAGTCCAATCTAACACAGGATATGTAAATTCAGCCTCTTTTACCTACTTATTGCAAATCTCTGGATTAGTGGCCTTTGATAGGTGTTCCATATGGCACATGAAATCTTAGTACAGAGGGATCTCTCAGTTACTGTGTCTTGTGCACTTGTATTTCATACTGTGTACTCATGATATTAAACCTGGAGTAAGACTTGACTGCCTCCAGCAGAAGCAGTAGCAAGCTAAGCTGGTCAGAGGTCCTTGCAGAAAGAGTATTATGTTTATATCACTACAGTTATGTAAGAGTGACACCATGGAAATCAGAGCTGTCTAAAGATACAAAGCATCTCACCTTAAATAGTGGGTTCACAGCAAAAAAATTGTCTTTAAATTGATATGAAATGGTTTAAAAGCAAGCTGTTAAATTAAATTAATTCAGTGCAACAAGGCCAAGGCAATAATGTGAATAGAAGGACAAAAACCCCCTCTCTATAGAGTCCTGACAGATTCTGTAGGCAGAGCCTTCTTATTTTCTTTTGTCTGACTCTGTTGGGATGAAACAATTCATTTTAAGCACAATCAGGCTGTTAGGATCTTACTTACGGGTGAATTGCAGGTGAGGTGTCCGTTGAGGCCATGTTGTTTTCTCTTAGTAAGCAGAAGTTGCTGATCTTAATCTTTTCAGCTGAGGCTGCCCTTCACCTTCCTGAACTGGAGATATTAGACCTTTCTTGGAATAAGTGCGTTGGTGGCAACCTAAAGCTGCTTTTGGGAGCACTAAAGCTTGCAACAGAGATTCAAGTGTTAAGACTGAGCAGCTGTAACCTGGTGGCTGAAGATTTGGCACTTCTAAGTAAGTATAACATGGTATTTACTAGCACTAAAGGAACTGGGGTGTTTAGACCACAATTCAGAAGGGGCTTGTTCCATGGGCTGAGCACGTTTTTGCATAAATCAAATGAAAACATGGAAAATACAGGAGTATTTCTCCCACAAAGGGCTTTCATTTTTCTGTCTGTCCTGGACATGCCCAGTGGAAAAGCTGAAAAGGCTAAAATGCAAAGAATATTTAAGCACTTTTATCTATTAAAAAAAAAAAAGGCAGCATAATTTAGAAAATGTAGAGTTTGCATCTGTTTTTTATCTCAAATATTTAAAGCTGCATCTGAGGAGTTTATTTTGCTCAGATGCTGTTTTATGGCTCAGTACTTTAGAGGAAATATCTGTGCTGACAGCCAGGAGTACAGACACTACCAGCTCCCAGTCATTAGGTAGGTTTCTGGAGTCAGACTACTGGGGGAGAATTAAACCAGAAATGTTTTCACCCACCTCTTAGCAGCTGCTAAGAAATACTGGAAAATGGGAACCTATAAAGGAATAAATTCTAGGACCCTTTTAAACACTTGCTAATTTTATACTCATCCTTTTGAGTCTGTGGGCCTGACTCAGGGGTTTGTGTCTGACATTGGCAATAGCTGTGTGACATCTGTAAGGCCCTGGAGTGTAAAATCTGGTGAGGTGAAGCCCAAATACTTTTGACTTCAAAAACCATCACCCTTGATGGGTGTCTGCTTTGCCAATCATATGTTAAGGACACCTTTAGGGAATATTTGGCCCTTCCATAGTGAGAGGTGGCTGTTGTAGTCAGTCATGCAGCCTCACATAGTTTTGCTTTCCTCTTTCTAAATCTCCCTGAAAAGCCTGTCTGCCTCTTACAATTGGCACTTGATGTGACCTCCTTCCAACTGACTCCAAGGTTTTCAGGTTGCCACACACTTTTAACTCAGTACTTTGTTCCTTTTGAACTGCCTGTGCTTTAAATGTTGTAAACTCCTTCAACTGTTATAAAACTGTCTTTCTGAGATCAGCAGCAAGTGATTTTATGTTGCTGAGGAGTTAAATCTTGCTGTTTGACTGCTGGAATGAGGTATTGAAATACCATTCCTTTTCTGAGAAGCTTTGAAAGCAGTTACCAGGATTTATTAATTGTGTTTGTGTCTGTCATCTCTCACAGCATCCCTGAGGCAAGATGGCCACTTGGCCAGAATGCAGAAGCTGGATTTGAGTTACAACAACACCATCTCTGATGAAGGCTGGGCTGTTTTCTGCCAAGGTTTAGGAGCATTCAAGGAACTCTCAGAGCTGGATGTGAGCCTCAGTCCATCGTCCTGCCGGGACTGTGGGCCGTGGTTTGGGGAGCTGTTGGCAGCACTGACACAGCTGCCAGCCTTGGCAGAGCTGGCCATGCAAAGATGGGCCCTTTCAGAGTCCCAGAGGAAGAAAATGGAAGGCTTTAATCAAGACAACAAAAGAAACATTCGTTTTGACTGTTGATGAAGGTTGGAGGTGTGTGGAAGGCCTTTTGGGAGCAGCACATGAACCAAGCATTATGTGTCTCAGAAGATGCAGTTTTTAATAATCTCTTGAAATAGTTTCATAGTTATAGAAAACTGTTATTTGACATTCTGCAACATAGATCGTTCAAATTCAGATTCTCTGGGCCATGCTTACACTATTCAATCTTCTTGTTGTGAATATTGCCAAGGCCACAGAGCAGTGCTGGGTCAGAGGGACCTGCTGCAGGTTTGGCCATGGAGGGAAGGGCTGGGGTTTGTGTTGATGCAGGTGGGTGGGCAGTGTCAATGTGGCCTCAGAAAATACCTCTAATGTGAAAATACTTGAAACCTCCATGTTTTATATGCTAGTTTCTTCTCCCCTCAAACTTTTCCCTCTTTGTGAATTAATTAAATCGTAAGTGGGAGATTTGGCATCCATTCCAACAACACAACATTATAGATTAGCCCAGGAAGGAGAATACAGAAGGAGCTGGTCTGCCTCTGCTCTGGCCCTTGATGCCATCTCATAGTGTAGATGAGTCCTGTGTAGAGAATCAGCATAAAATCAAGGTAAGAAACACTTATTTGGTGTCTGTGCAAGTCTCAGGGGCAAGGAAAAAACTATGGTACACTAAATCAGAGATATGTCCTGCTACTTTAACAAGAATTTTGGATGCAGAGCAATCAATAAGTGCCAAATTCTGGCACAATCACTTGTGTCATGGAGCATGTTAACCCACACGTGAGCTCCAGGACTGCAGTGGGATTATTCATCGGTAAGGTATTTTAGGAAGTAAAGATATTAGATCTGCCCACTGAGTGAGGAGTCTTAGAGAAATCCTGAGGCAGCTTGAGGGATAAAGTACTGCTCAATTAGCTCTGAGCATCTCTACATGCTGCAGCAATCTCCTGGAGGAGAGGCACAACAGGATCATTCAGTGGCAACTTCCTAATTTGCTAAGGCCGCCCTCAGCAAGTTCTCCCCTGCAGATGCTGATCAATATTCAACTTTCAGTCCATGCAACCCTTCCAACATCAACTTTTCCCTGTTCAGGGCTATAACCAGCAGCTGAATGCTGATACCCATTGATCATTTAATCCATAATTTCATGTCAGAGTCACCCTGGACTTCCTGGTTCCACTTTCAGTTCCACATGAAAAGTGCACTTGGCTCCCCCAGCTTTGAGAAATGTGAGTTGAACTGGAGTCTCTTGGTCAGGGGCAGCAGGGAATTGCTGTGTGGGATCCCAAACCTCTGAAATAAATCAGAGCCCCTGCTTCATTTAGGGCTAACAAGAGAGATTTTCTAGCAGTGAGTTAAGCAAGGACAGTTGTTCTAATGAAGAAAAACCATCATGTCTGTTTAACAGCATCTCATCAAGCTGTTCTATTTATCCCTTGCCTTCATGTGACTTTCCTCCTCAAATTCACCTTTGATCCAACTGGAAATTTTATCTCTTATCTGTTCTGTGAGAATTTCTCAGAATTAATCCTTTCCCTCTTGAACCTCTCTCTCCAGTTTACCTTTAATGTCCTCTTTCTGTTGAAATCTTCCTAACTGAACTCAAGTTCAGTGTCGGGGTTTCCTGTTCTTTCATAGCTGGATTCCTCATTCTCAGCTCCAGAGCCCAGAACAGACCCACTGCTGGCAAACTCTCCCCTGCCCCTGATCCCCCTGCTCAGTCTTTGCCCTCTAATTATTCTGTCATGCCAATTGTGCCACTAAAAAGCTTTTATCACCACTACTAAAAATCTTCTAAATCTGCCCAGAAATCTCTCTTCCAGTGATTTCCTCCTTGGCAGTTTCTGATTCATCCTTCTCTCTGTCCCTCTTTGCCTTCACTTAGAGTGAAAAAATTTCACTAGACATTTCCAAACAATCAAAACAGCCTCAGTTACCCAGTGAAATGGAAAATCAGAGCAGAGCCGTCCCACTTTGCTGCAGTCCCAGCTCTCTCCTGCCAGTGAGCATATTAATGAGATTTCAGTATCAATCGAGAGCCAAACAGAGACGAGTGCCATGCCTTGGATGCAGATTCAGAGAGCACTACCTGCAGATGGAACTCTGGTTCTGATCAACTCCCTCAGGATGCACCACCTTCCCTGAGGCAAGGGGAGGGAGAGCAGCACTGCAACTCTGACCAGCCAGCTGAACTGAACAAAGGGTTCTGCTCCCACTCTGCATTTTGAACCTGCACAGTCTAGCTCGATGCTCTGTGTGCACTGCAGATGAAACTCAGGGGCTTAAAGGGTAGCTGAGCAGTACAGAATAAAAACTAGACAAGGACATCTCGTGTCTAGGACAAACAGCTGTCTGCCTGTCAAGTGCTGTGGAAAGACATGGTTGCACATAGATTTGGCATGCAAGAATTGTAGCAATATTATGTTTGTCATGGATCTTTTTAATAACAAAGGAGTTATGATGTGTCGGGACCAGAATCATGGCAGAAATTGCATCCTGCAGACCCACTGCTTTCAAATAAGCCTGCCATAGACAGACACATCCCAAATGTCACCAAGCCATGTCAGAGATGAGCAGTACCACTAAGGCAGTGACAGCTTGCAGTCATTCAAAGTGCTGTAACTGCAGATTGTCAAAACATCAGTGAACAGTTTTTGCCAAAGTGTGGAGATACTTTCAAACAGCTTTATACAGCTCTGTAAGACAGGATAGTAATGCAGGTCCTGGTGTGGCCTGTCTGGAATCCTGCTCCATATTTCCAAACATATTTCCAAGGTACTGGTCGTTTCTGGAGGTAAAGTGCATAAGTGAGGTTTATAAACTGTGATGTTTTTGGGATCATTACTAAACACAGAGACAACAGGAGTTTTAAATGCTGAGCTTTGATATTATTCCTGTTCTGACAGTTCTGGCCTGATGTTGCACCAGGTACCTAAAGAGATTAAGAGTGCCTTCAGTCCTGCATTTGGGAGCAGCTGAAGTCCATGGAATTTCCATGCAGCAGCTGAACAAGATCTTGCCCCTTCTATTGTTCCTCCCTGCAATTTGCTTATGTCTTCTGGCAGACATTTAATTCCTTTATCTTGTCCCAGCTATAATCTTTCTGATGACTCCAGGAGAAAGATCTCCTTTGGAAAGATACTGAATTTATTTTCAGAAAGGTTAAGGCATTTAAAATTTTCAGTTCCTTCACCTCCACAGGTATCTAGACACAGTCATTAAAAAGATATATTACGTCAATTAAATAGTAATCTTTGGAATTTTGTTTTTAGGGAAGAAATCCCCTAAGAAAATTCTGTGGAGCTGCATTACTGTTGATAGATGAACACAGAATATTCTGCTCATTAATGTCACATTATACTTCACAGTATGGTGGAAATTTTGGCAAAGACATCTATGTTGTTTCCTGTGCTGGAAAGATTTCTTATGGGTTTAATTTTATTTCTTAGCAGAAACATTAGTCTGCTTCTTCATTTCCTTTGTATGCACAGTGCAGCAGAGAGCAATTTAAATTAATGAAATCTGAAAGTGAGTCTTTTGCATAAATTGCTACTTCTGTAAATGTAACCTTCAAGGAGAAAACTGCATCAGTGAAAAAAAATCCTTGAGAAAAAAGCATTGCATTAAATAAAAAGGAAAGTGTATTCTGAGGCCAAAATAAGGATGTCTATGAATACTCTTACACTCACCATAGCCCAGGGGTGCATAATTGTTCATTATCAAATGAACAGCTAATGTTCATGGAGTTAAAGACATGAACAATATCATATCCATTTTTAAATTGCCCTGTGCTCACTCTGTGACATATTGATTCTGTGCAAATGCAGCTCTTATTTTCCCAGTGTACACAGAAAAAAAAGATGCAAAAACCTGCAGCAGTCCCTCCAGTCAGGATTCCATCTTTATGATTCAACACAAGGGTCAGTGTTTCCAACTTCTTGCTTTTTTCTGCCTGAATTCTGAGATGCCAGCAATAATGAGGAACCCAGGCTTGGGGTGTACCAGTGCAATGTCCCTTCTCACTGTCGTGGGGAAAAGCGACACTTGGTTGTAATGGAGAACTTGGATTGTGCAAAAGGGAGGTATCAATAAAATATAAAGTAAAACAAAGGAACAAATACATTTTTCATAGTGCACTTTCCTTTAGGAATAGCAGCAAAGCGTTTTTCATTCAGATCTGGCATCCTGACACGGATTAACCTGGTGGAGGATGCAGGTACAATGTGTAAGGTGGTGCAATGTGTAACGTGGTGTTCCCCACACAAACACTGGAAAGGGAGGCCCAGCAGCAGGGCTGCTGTGGGATCTCCTCCAGGCTGTCCAGACAGTCTGAGTGCCCTATGTCAGGGAGATTCTTCAAACCTGGGGGAAGTTTGTGCAGGAGATTACGAGACAGACCCAGCACAGACAGCTCCTGGCGGTGCTGCAATGCAGGAAAATGGAGCCCACCCCCTCCTGCCCGGGAGGGCAACGGTGAAATCACCAGAGGGATTTATTTGCTGGAAAGGGCCAGCACAGGAATCTTTGAAGGAGCAGCTGATCCGTGTAACCATGGACAGCTTTGCAAAGGCTCCTGGGAGATCAACTCCGTGCCCAGGGTCTGGGCAGCACCGGGGGCTCAGCCCCGCACAGGGGAGGGACACTGGGGGCTCCTGGCAACCCCTGCCCGCTGCCTCCTGCTGCCGGCCCGGGACACCCGCCCTGGGAACGGGCTCGGGACACCCGCCCTGAGAACGGGCTCCGGGAGACCCTCGCTGGGTACCGACTCGGGACACCCGCCCTGAGAACGGGCTCCGTTACCGAGCTCAGCTCGGAGCAGCCCGGTTACCGAACTCACCGCGGGTGAGCTGGGGACAAGGGAGAGGTGGGCATAGCTCAGGTAAGGCCTGCGGGGCTCAGCTGCCACAGGGATCGCTTCTCTATCGTCTCAGATACTTTTATCTCTGAGTTTATTACAGAATATGCTGAGCTGGAAGGAGAACAATCACGTTAAACTCTGAAGTGAATGGCCTGCCTTGGTGCTCTAGCACGGTGCTCTAACCAACTACAGCACATCGAAAACACACCCAGCGTTTTACTCATGCTTTTCCTGTACCTGTTACTCCAAACCACAAGCTGTAACCCTTTCCAGACCGAGCCCACTTGTATTGCTATGCAGATCTCTTCTGGTTGCTAGGCTGCCAAAACGATACAATAACACTTGGTTTTGTTTTCCAGCAGGTCATGGCGGTTGCTCCAGATCTTCACCTGCATTATATGGAGGCCTGTCAAAATTTGAGCCAGCCTGAAAACCCCTTCATTGCTCGTGTGCTTCAAGAGGCTGATAAAAATGATGAAATGTAAGAAAATAACAAACGGGGTGTTTCAGATGCTTCTGAAAGCCTTAAACGGGGTAGCAGGATGAGGAATTGAAATATGACAAAGTTCATGCAGTTTCAGGCTTAAACACAAATCAAATTTAACATTTACTGCTGAAGTTCTGGTTTGACTCATCTTGACATCATCTTGGCAGAAGTTTGTAGCTATATATCCTTTCTGGGCAGCTTTACAAGCAGTGAAATAAAAAAAAGTGAAAAATGTACAGGAAGGTGCCTTTCTGTCCCCTAAAGAAGCCAAACCCTGTGTTTAGTCATCCTAACTCCCTTCTTTGTGTCTCACTCCTGTTTTAAAAGCCTCAGCTGCATTCAGTTACCTTCCAGCTGGTCATGCTTCCCTGAGTTGTCTCTGAATCCTGCCAAGTTATTAATCACCTAAATTCTCTCTCTTTAAGGGTCTGGGTACTGCTTCTTCTCATGGATGGTGCTGGGATCAAAGTTAATTGTCCTTTTTGGGGAAAAAACTGAGAAAATGAAATTGTTTGTGTCATGTTTTGATCTTGAGGGCTGGATAAAGTAAGTAAAGGAAAGAGGGCAAGTAAAAAGAAGATGATGATGTAACCTCTGAGATAATCTTTATTTCCATCTCCTTCCCCTCATCTTGGTTATTCCTGCTTTCAGTGCTGAGCAGTGCCTTCAGCAAGGGCAGTGCTGAGGCACTGCCTGGATCACATCACCTGGGGTGGTGTTACCACAGCAGAGGCAGCAGATAACCCTGTGCAAGAGCTCCAGGGAGGGCAGGCATGGGCACACCTCTGATCTGGAGAGGGAATTCATTTCTCTCTATAATTTTACTTCTCATATTCTTCCATTTTTATGTTATTGCAGAACTACAAAAGGAATCACATTAAAATTAGCTGGAAATAATCATCTGGTGCCTGTGCCAAGAGTTACAGATAATGATCTTGCAGTTCTTGTCTCTGTCTTAGGCCAAGCTCCCTTTGTCACAGGTAAGGTTTTTCCCTGTGTGTTTGGCATTGCTGTGCTAATACAAGAAAACAAGATCAGTCTTGATTTCAGCCTTAGTTCATCTTTGTTTCTGTTTGTTCAGAGATCAGTTCAATGCAGATATGCATCTGTGATGTTCCCTATTCTTCATCTTTTTCAGGTTTGGATCTTGCCTATAATTTATTGACTGATGTCGGAGCAGAGATCATGGCAGTATTCCTCCAGGTGCCAAGAGATGTTTACCTTTCAGCAACTTGTAATTTATTTGTCTATAGTAATATTTATACTGGGGACAAGAATTAGCTGGTTTGGCAAAATTCTAATAACTTTTACTATCACTAGAACCTCAGATTGTATTCTCTGTGGAGATTTTTAATTTCTGGTAGAAGGCCTTTGGATATTTGCCTGTAGTGTCCTGAGAAAAAAATGATGGAATAAACTATGAAGCTTTTAGGCTCACAGTTCAATTCAACAGAGGCGGTAATGGTTGTGTCAAGTGTGCCAGTGCCTTTGTTTCAGCTATTTTATAATCTTTGTTAGCTTTTTCATAGACCTAAACATAGGGAATTTTAATGCCACTTTTTTGTCACAGTAAGCACTGGGATACAGGTGGAAAACAGTGAGTTGTCACCCTCTACCTGTGTTCGTAGAATTTGAGGTTAGGTTAGGTTCACAAAATGCCTGAATTTGTGCATCTGAACTTGGCCACCTGCTTCCTGCACAGGGTTCCTGGGTGGTTCCTCAGGCCCCATGACAGGTTTTATGCCTTGCCCTCATCACCTGACATAATTTGGGATTCTTTAACTACTTCTCCAACTCATGAACAGCCTGAAATGCTGCAAAGGGCAGAGTTTTGTATGTGTATCTCCTTTTTGGAAAATACAGCTGTGTTTTGGGAAAAACACCCTCTCATTGCTTCCTGCTTTGTTTGCTCCCAAGGAAAACTCCACTCTGCAGTATCTGAACCTGATGTTCAATGACATTGGCACAAGTGGGGCAGAGCTGATAGCAGGAGCACTCCATGTGAGTATTTGCCTGGGAGATTTAGGCAATGGCATCTCCTTTAATCTTTTTGCTTTTGATGACCAGTACTGGCTGTGCTGCCAACATCAGAGCTGGCTGAAAGGAGCCTCTGTCTTTGCTCCATTCAGCATGTTGCTGTGTCACAGGGATTGCCTGGTTTCCCAAGGCACACTACAGAAATCAGATTTCACACAAGAGAAAGTTGCACTGTGCTGCCATTAACAATTCATTATCTAAAAAAGACATAATTGTCTATAAAAAGCACAACTATTGCAGCTGGGTTTTTCTGTGTGAAAAATGCTATGCTACAGGATGTATACTGCCATCATTTTTTCCTTTTTTTTCTCCAGAAATTAAATTAAATTAGCCTGTACTTTGACATCAATATTTGTCTGGATTCAAGATGTCTGAGACATGTTTTCAAAACTTTGCCTTACAGCAGCACCGCAAACCCAAGTTTGTTATTTTTAATGTGGTTTCCCAAGGAAATGAGGCTTGTGTGGAAGATTTGTTGTGTTTGTGAAAGAAGGCTCACATGAGCTCTTTCTTCCTCCTTCACAGTCTTTGAACACTGAACTGATTTCAACTCAATTTGACAGGCTTCCAAAACACTAAGGCTGTGCAGTAGATGTACAATGTTGGGCTCATACAAGGCTTACCAGATTTAAATTAGTATTAAGGCAATTTGCATTTCAGATGCCAATTTAGGAAGAAATATTTGCCTGGATTATTTTCATGAGTGTGATGAAATTCATGAACTTGGGGGAAACAGAAGTTTTCAAAAAGAAGAGTTTGACTTGCAGGCTCTCATATTTGGTGCCCCTGAGGGGAGCCTGAGCCAAGAGCTGAGCCAGTGTTATCACTTGGACATAATTCTTCTGAAAGTTTGTTTTGTCTCTGTGTGATAACCAGCAGAATTCACATTAAAAACAGGATAGAGTGGTTTTGCAGGCTATCTTAAAGGAATATATATATATTTTTAATTTTGTCTAGAACAATCAAAGTCTTGTGCACCTGAGAATGACTGGAAACAAAATAGGAAACCAAGGTGGCATGTTTTTTGCTTCAATGCTAGAAATTAACTCAACCTTAAAGAAGTTGGATCTTGGAGACTGTGATGTGGTGAGTAACACAGTAAAATTATCAGCAATAAGACATAAGTCTTTTCAAGGTTATTACAAGGGTCCTGCAGTGATTAATTAGGGGGAAATGCCATCTGTTGTCATTGATTTTGTGACAGCCAGAGGTAACAGAATATACAATATTGCAATGTGTGCTGGGAAAGGCACATTGCATAAAGCACCTGTGAAGTCAGAACTGGGGATGTTTTAGAGCCACCACGTCTCTCTAGGAATTCAAGTGCTTGGCTTGCACATTTTCTGAGGTTTTTTTCTGATGCTCCTTTCTGTTGAGCTAAGTCCTGTATAATTCATTTTGAAGAATGGACTTCTCATTCCCTGGAGAATCTTTTCCTTCTAAAGTGAGCAGTGCTGCAACCCCTGAAAGTCACTCATCCCATAGCTCTGCTGCTCCTCTCAGAGCTTGCCCATAAAGGACATAAGCAAAGCAGAGCTGAATTGAGTAAAAAAGCACCCAATTTACTCTTGGACAATGTGGTTCCTCTTGGAGCTGGGCACTGAGACTTCCTAGACTGTGTACAGTGAGACTCAGGAGGTTGTGGATTGCTTTTTTAAACATTTGTCTCCTGCAAATTCAGGATTTGCTTCTGAGCCAGAAGGGGGAATAGCCCTCAGAAAGTGTGAAAGTGTTATGAATACATGAATGAGGGAAGTGTAGGATTTATTCAAAAGCTTGGTAGGGAATTGATAGAGCTGGTTTAAAATGAGATGGCTTGAAAAGTAGCATAAACATAAAATTGAGGGCAAAGTAGAAGGACATTAAAAAAAAAATCTTAATTTGCCCAATTCATACTAAATATGAATTTACCTGGTGGATAAATATTAGGGTAACACACATAAGCTGATTTTGCTTCATAAGTCAGGGAAATCAAAATATGGGATCAATTGAATGGACAAATATTTTTCAGATCCATTATTCTTGGTTTTTATTCTCTGAGTTGCTGAGTCATTTGTACTGCTTAGTCTAATTTCAGTCTGCTATTCCATAGGCAGTTGGCATTGGTATTATCAGAAAATCTGTTATGTGTCTGTAAGCAGTTGCCTGCAGTAGTCCCATCTCTCTACTTCCAGAGTAGATCAAGGCAGAAATAATAGTAATGGCAATTTGGTAGCTTGATCTATACACTGAACATGTTTCTCTAAAGAATTTATTTTCATTTCCAGGGCCTGCGGTGTCTGATAGCAACAGCCATAGCCCTGACTCAGAACAAATCACTCAAAGCCATAAACCTCAATCGTCCTTTGCTATCCACCCAACAGGTATGTGAGTGACTGTGGAGTCAGCTCAGACAGAGGAGCATAAGTCAAATCAGTACTGATGTATTTATGGACATTTTTTGTGAACTAAACAGGACAATTTTGAACAAACTTCCTTTGTCTTAGAGTGGCAGGACATATTTTTTCCCATAGAAGTCCTGTTTCTTTTGCATGCAATTAACAGAACCTTTAAGGTTGGAAAAGATCTCCAAGATCAAGTAAAAACTGTGACCAATTCATTCTTGTATGAAATAATTACCATCATTACAAAATAATTTTAAATGTTAGCAAAGATTGACCCAGTCTTTTAAGAGGAATAGCAGGGAGGGAAACTGATTAGACATAATTAAATGTTGATGCTTCACTGATATTTGCAGGGATGTAGACAGTACTGTAGAACTGCAAATATCTCCATAGTATTTTTCTTTTTTTTTATTTTATTTTTTTAACTTTATAATAACATGTCATTTTGTGGTTATTTTTATACAATATACAGAATAGAATGATCAACACTACTGATGACCAGATCTTGCAGTTAGTTGCATAACTCCCTTTTACTGAGGCACAACTGTATCTTACCCTAAAGTCCAGATTAATAAAATTGGGTGTATGTTTCTAGGAAGAGACCACAGTTCATATAGCTCTGATGCTGAGGAGTAATTCTTCTCTTGTGGAACTACATTTGGGCAAGCATGAAATGAAAAACTTTGGTGTAGAGCGACTGTGTGATGCCCTGTATGAAAACTCCACCCTGAGATACCTTGACCTTAGCTGGTGAGAGTGATTAAATGTGGCACATTAGAAACTCATTTTCTTAGCAACTTGGAAAAAAAAAATTAAAATGTGCATCTCTCTTTCAGTAACAACATCATCTGTGATGGTGCTAAATTTTTGGCAGAGCTACTGAAAAAGAACCATACCCTGGAGATCCTGGATCTTGATGCAAACCGAATAGAGGATGCTGGAATCATTTACCTGAGTGAGACCTTGGTCACGCGGAACAGGACTCTGAAGGCGTAAGTACTGGCACAGCTCCCCCAGAGACTGCAGGTGAGAAACCTGCACTCTGCACTGCCTGAAATGCACCACAGCTCTGTGTCTTCATCTTGATCAAAATAGGAAAGTCAGGGAGTTCCAAATGTTTTAGACAATTTTTCCTTCTTGGGGAAAAAAAAGCCTGTGAGTGACTGGGTGGGATTTCTTTACTAAGCATTGTCTCTGCTGCCGTGTGAGCTGCTCCAAGACCTGTGAGACAGCCTGGTGTGCTGGAGGTGAGCCCCAGGTGTGCTCAGAGCTCTCACAGCTTTCACAGTCACCCTGAGAGGGTGAGGCCATTGATCTGCTCATTCTTTCTGCGTCTTTGAAGCACAGGTCCCTGTGGTGCGCAAACGAAAACAAGAGCTGCAGGCCTCCAGAATTTTGAGATAATCAGATTCCACGCTGGGATAAGGCACTATATTTGTTAGTTCTGATCTTCCAACACTTAAGAAAATCCTCTGTTTAAGTTCGCTTCCGGGTGAACCCAGAAGAGCTGTAATCTCTCCATCAGGGTGTCTTTTGCAGCCGCGTTAAACCCCCGCCGGCAGGACATAAAAGCTGATCAAAGGTGTTACCTGAAGCCATTAGTTTTAAGTAGCAGACTGAGGAGGTGGCGGCTGCGAGGTGCCTCGGAAAGCCTCGCAGGTTCACTAATATAAAAATAACTGCCACTCCACAAAGATCAAAGCTTAGCCTGGATAAATGCCAAGGCTTGGGCTTCAAAGCAGACTAGAGATGAGACCTGGCCACCATGCAGCAAAGTCACTGACACTGAAGAACTCAGTGAACAACCTGGCTGCAAGAGTCAGGAAAGTGCTTTGAGAAATATAAGTCCAGAGGCCAGATGCCTTTGGCAACTTGGAAAGGATTTCGAGTAGGACTGGCTTTGATACAAATAAATTATTATAAATAAAATTTTTCTCTATATATTTTATATAACAATAAGACTAATTCATGGTTAAATTATTATTTTTAACCCAGACATGGGAATTCTATTGTTTGGCACACATTTTCTCTCTTTTCTAGGTTGTCTGTTGTAAGCAACAATATAACTGGCAGAGGACTTGTAGCTCTTGCACAGGCAATGCATTCCAACATGACACTTTCCCATATTTACATTTGGGGGAACAAAATTGACAGAAGCACCTGTGCAGTAAGTGTTTGGCTCTGAACTCACCTGAGAAGGCTGGGGTTCGATTGCTCTAATTTGTCCTTCTATTGTTGGGAAGAGTCCAGCAATTAGTGAACAAGACACTTGATTTATCTGGGCTTTTTAATGTGGTTACAATATGGTGGTGCTGGGATGAGCCTCCCTGGACGAAGTGCCATGTGAGAGCCATCACTGCAATCCAAAGGGAGCACCGCTTGTTAAATCCCCGCTTTCCTTCACTGCAGGCATTCGCGGAGCTGATGGCGGTGGAGCGCCTGCAGCCGGACTGCACGGACGTGGCTCCCTACAAGGTGGACGGGGAGATTTTCCTGGCAGAGCTGTCCCACGGGCTGGCCAAGCACCGCTACTGGAGCCCGCGCTGCGCCGCCGTGGCCCCCGGCGCCGCCAACGCCAGCCTGGAAATCGTCCCTGTCTCGGAGTATTTGTGAGGATTCTGCACCCGGGCACCCCCGGAACCCGCCCCGAGCCTGAGCTTTCCCCACCCGGTTTCTAGTAAAATAGGTTGTTTTATCAGTATCACACTTGCTGCATGTTGTTTCTTTAGGGTTTGAGTCTAGGAGGATTCTACACCTGCTTGAAATGGCAACAGAGAAAGCATCAACAAAATGACCTCAAAATTTGTTATTAAGTCATACTCCCATCTATTAAAAGTCTGTAACTATGAAAAGGTTTGTACCCAGGCAGAGCAGACTGACAAAAGCAACACCCAGGACTGCTACAGGGCAGCAGATCAAGTATCCTGCAGAGTCAGATTCCTGCTGAAGCTGAGAGCTTTGGGTAAATCTATTTTTAGCACTGTTCTCCATGAACTCTTTCCTTTTCCTTAGCAATTGCATCCTTTTGATCTTCCAGTAGTGAGATCTTCCATTTTCAAAACCAAGGTAAGTGAACTTAAGCACTAAGCCACAGCCATGCTAGAACTTTAAGATGGTGAACCCAGTTTGCTGGGATACACATGGAATTTTGATTAAATTGGAGCACGTACTTGTTTCTTATACAACAAATACAAACCACCACCAAATCTGATGCCATAATTTCTTCTCATCTCATGAAAACTGCCTAAACAGTTGTATCATTATAGCCCTGTGACAATTCCTACACATGAGTAAGACAACACATGAATGTAATGGTAAACATTGTGTAATGGCTTAGACAGACTTTGTGTAAGCTTGGGAATCACTCTGCTGGTTTCCGTTTTCCATTCACTCTGCTCATTCCTGTAGAAGTGACTTAATTTATGTTCCTAAACAGAAAAAGTCACAGGACAGCAGAGGTTTGCTCCAAGCCTTTCATGAATGCAACTCTCTGCCCCTCTAACTGTGCCTGTTAAATATTGGCATAAAGTGCCAGAATGATCTGTGAGTGTAGGTACAAGAGCAAAGCATGAGGGAAAAAATTTAATAAACTAATTTCAGTACAAATTGCTGGGAAACTACTGCTGTTCTTACTCTGCATTATCACTGTGATAGTGTAGGAACAGGAAGACATTTGGACACCTCTTCCCCAGCTGAAATGACCAGGGCAGTTGTGAGAGCTGGTGTAGGTGGAGGTTTGTTGTTGTTTGGTTGGTTTGTTGTTTGGTTTTTTTTTTCACTGCCCCCACCCCCAAACACAAATTACTCAGGCTCTTGCTCCAAGAGCCCCTGGTATGGTCAGGGATAAGCCCAGAGCAGGAATGTTTGTTCTGCACACCTGCACAGGGCCCTCCCAGCCTGCAGCACAAAGTTCATACATCACCCTGTGAACAGCCAGCTCTAGAGAGGAGCTGCTATTTTAACTCTTGTTCAGCAGGAAGGATGCAACAAGAACTAAAGTTGGGGATACACCAAACATGGTGGTTTGAGAAGAAACTGCTATGAGAATTTTCCTAAATTCCTAAAATAATTCCAAATTCCTGAATTTTGAAATAATTAGATAAGCCTGTGTTGGTACTTTTCTGAGTGCTGCTGCTCTGGATCATTGCAGGTGACACTCTGACAGTGTCAGTACTGACACACTGGTGACAGAATGTCTTGCTCAAAACACCACTACAAGACTCAGACTTGTATTTTTTTCCATGTGTCTTTCTTTCCCTTGTCAGGTATATGAAGTTCAGTCTAATTTCACTGCTCAAATTAAGTCTTAATTTACTTGTATAAATGACATCTGTTAATCTGAGGTGGTAACAGGTACCCAACTCAATCAACAGCAGTATTTTGGTTTTAGTGATGTGATAAGATGGCAACAATATCACAGTCAAAATATATCGGGTAAAATGGCATCTGAAAGTGCTGGTGTATGTGTTTGCAGTATTTGCACTCTACCTGAACCCTTGTTTAACAGCAGCTTGTTCAGCCCATAAAGCCCTCTTCATTACTGACAATACTCATAAAAACAGCTCATGTGTTACAGTTTTCTTTGATATTCTTTTGTAAGAAAGGGCTGCAGAGTAATTCCTACCAAATTCTGTATAAACAGCTTCCTGCATACTAAAACAATTATTTGTGCAAAACCCTGTATTGCTTAAAGAGGTCTGTGCCAGAGACTTTTAATTCTTCCTTCCTCTGACCTTGAAATTCCTAGAAGATATATCTTGTGTTCTTTGGAATGATTGAATTTACTTGGGCTAGATTCTTTTTGTCATGTTCTTCTGAGTAATTCAAAGGCTAAAGCAAGCATAATCCTGCTCTGAAAACCATTTTTTCAGCTTCTAGACCTCACTGTACCGTGCTGAAAGGCAGCATTTCCCCCCAGTTTTAGAGGAGAGGCAAATGAAGGCAAGTGACTGATCCAGCAGGGCAGGGGTGCAGCAGAGGTCCCCCAAATTCTAAAGTGGGCTCCAGGGACCCCCATGGTCCTTGTGCCAGGGTGGTGACAGGGATTGTGTCTGACTGGTTCCCTCCTGCTTTTGTTGCTGCCCTTTGCAGTTATAAACAGGAGACACAAGGTGAGGGAAAATTATAAAACAAGTTTATTAAAGTCTGACATAAAACACTTCAGGCTAAATATGTACAACTCCCTCCCTTCCCAGGGAATTATAAAATTGAGAGTTGAGGTATATACAAATAACAGAGGAAAAATTGTATATACATGGCAGATACTTTAAAAATAATTTAACCAAAAAAATCAGTTATTACTCCTTGTCTGAACTTAGCTCTGCAAGGCTTATTGAGCCTCTCTGGGATCACAGCCCTGAAATCCTTCATGTGGGACTTGTCTGTACTTGAAAATTGTTTTGTAGCACATGATTTCAAAAAGTTTGTTATTTGTGCCCACTTAGAGGCACTAATTTAGAAGTAGATGTCATATAAGGAGCTGTTCTCACCTAAGTACTTCCAAACAGTCAATTTAGAGACTTAGAGATGCAGATAAGCTATTCAGGCAAAACTTGCACCAACTTCAGTGCAAAACTGACTGAAACAGCAGTGTGACAAAACATGTCATATTCTTTGTATTGCTCTTCATAGAATTATTGAAGTTCCTTCTTTTCTTTTGCAAGGACACATGCCTAAAAAGATTCCATGCTCTCCCATATTAATCCCTTACAGAAATTATCAATACTGTTGTAAGCCTTGCACTTCAAAATGAACCCAGAACCCTTAAGCCTAGGACTTACATGTGCAGCTGATTTCCATGCATCTATTGGCAAAAGTACAGGTGTAGGTTCAGACCTACAGCCTGAACACACCTACAAATATATATATATATATATATTTATATATATTTATTTATTTAAAATCTATATTCTAGTAAATGAATACAGTTGGTAGAGATCATACCTCAGCAGCTGAGATATCTTCATGAAAGATGAGGATAAAAATCAAGATTTTCAGATGGGGACTCAAGAGTGCAGGTCACTAAATTATTGCTCCAAGACAAAACTACAAGCCTGTGTATTCTATTAAGAAAGGTTAAAATTGTTGTCTTGTAAAAAATAATGAATATCTTCTTGTCTATAAAGAAAACTAAATGACTAATAAAGCAACTGTTACTGTTATAAGTATCTAAACAAATCCTGTATAAATCTAAGCACTGTATTTTTTAAAAAAGTCTGAAATCTAAGAATACAGTAATAAGCTATAATTTTAGAAATATAAAACCAGTCCAAACAAACACTGTTATGGAATGCATTTTCTATGTAGGAATGTAGTTATTGTTTAGGTTTCTCTCCAGAGCTGTTCTCTCTCCTGGTCATTTCTCCTGGATGTTTATCCTGAGCTGCTTTTCCTCAGGTACCAGCAGCATATCATTAATTTGTCTTCCAAAGCTGTTTAAATATGCAAGTTATCAGTTGTAAAGCATTTACTTTCTCAGTTTTCATGACTAAACCTATATCTGTGCCAAGATTTCTGCTCTACTTTCAAAGAGAGACAGCAAGGAGGAAGCTTAGTACAAGCTACACACAGTCAAGATCCCAATTTTGTGGTTCTTCGGTCTTAAAAGGCTGAGGAATCCCCCATGGGCTACACCAACAACAGAACTGAAAGAGACAAGAGGGCAGACAAAGGGAAATGCCAAAAATAAAACACCAGAGAACTTTCTCCTTTGTCTTTTGCCAGCATGATGAACTTCAGCTGTTCATAAGCTCTGTGGGACAGACAAGCAGGGAAATGAAAGGCCCTGCAATAACGATCTCCAATGGGGACAATGTGAGAGATTCCTGCATTAGGGATGCTCCTGTTGAACATGGCTGTACTCCTGCTGCCCATGGTAGGCTTCATCAGCAAATCTACCATCTATTAAAGCATAAAATGTGACCAAGCAGCAGGTTATAGACATGCCCCATACTAAAATGATCAACACAAAGCAGCAAAAGGTCTATTAGTTTACAAATACAGACATGGAGGAAGAGAAAAAAAATTACAGTCACACTCAGGAGTCAAGGGGCAATTTTCAGACTCTTTAAATGAAATCCTTCAAGAAATTTTTCACAAGTCTGTTTAGTTAAGGTGCAGATTAATTATTACTCCACGTAGAATGGAATCAGTTAAGAGGTATCTTCTACGCTCTTCTATTTCTCAGCATCTGGACAAAGGCATCGGTGGAAATAAATGCTAGCACCAAGTAAAGAACCAACAAAGGACAGCTTTAAATGCATTGTTGGTACAGTATCATGACTGTTTCATTACTGTTTGATGATTACATAAATAATGCTTACAACTGTTAGTGGCACAAACTGGCAAAATGGAGTAGAAAGGTGCTTCTACTGTCACCCAGTCTTTTATGACCTTACCAAGACATTAAAATGTTGATTTTTAAATATGTCTCTTGCTAGTAATAAAGTCTTTAGCTGGGCCTAGCTAGGTACCAGTTTTGTGCAGTTACTGTGGGCAAGTGACATGAGAGAAAAGCAATACAAAAAACTTTAATTAAAACAAATCAGTCAAACTCTAACAAAATCTTTCCTGGAAGAATATCAATCTGCTCTCTTGTATTATTCTTCAATGCCTCCTCATGTAGTGTTCACTTATTATTTTCACAGTGAAGGGCGGGATTTATCTCCTCTTTTGTACCTCCTGTCTAGCACAAGAAGCAGCACTACAGCAAAAAAAAAAAAGGATTATCAGCCTCTGATTCATGCCTCACTAATGAACTCACTGCACCTTTTCGCCTCATCTACAACATGCATGTCTCAGTTCTCCTTTTGTTGCTATTTGTGCCAAACCCACAGTGTTTTAAGGATGTGAAAAACAAATCTGGGACAAGATACAACAATGTTGGATTCACTTCAAACAAACAAAGGCAATTTGTTGGAAAGAAGACCCAGGAATATCTATGCCATCAGGACCCTCCCACTCGCCACACTTCAGACAAAAATTAACCCTCCTTTACTTTTCTTGTCAGGAAAATAACACCCAAACCTTTCCCTCTAGTCAGGCTCCACCTGAAGATGGCACTTCTGGCAGCCAGCAGCAAATCCATGCAAGCACTTCAGCAGAGCACTGACCTGCCTTCACCATGGACCATTCTAGCACCTTGCAGTGCAGGCTTACTAATACATCCAAATTATGATTTCTCCCTACACCTCTGGGTTAATCTTCCTAAACTATCAACTATGGCTTAAAATATCTGTTCTCAAATGACACTGTGACACATCAAATCAGCAGGAACATGGGAAGAGAGCTCCAAAGTACATTAACATATGTAACAGAGAATTCTTAAGGCAGGTGTGTTGCCAGAATCATCTCCTGGAAATCAGTGTTAATCACAAATAGAAATGTGATTGTAGATTAGCACAATCCAGCACTGCACAATGGAAATGCCTTACAGGTGTCTTTACACAGAGGAAAACAAAAGAACATGTCCAATTCAGAAAGCATGACTGGTTGTTTGTGTTCATCTTACCAAACATTTCCAAGTTCACTACCAAACTACCTGGATGGCTCTGCACTGCTCTGTCAGTACAACTGCTGCAGGAAAATGAACTGAGGTTCTGAATATCCTGTCACAGCAGATCTCAGTAATGTTTCTGATGAAGGGGACTGGCTCCCTGTCACAGGGAGCAGCATCTGATGGTCTTCAGTCCCAATGGGGAGAGGAAGTGCTAAAGACATCTCAGAGGGTTTCACATCTATGGACTCTGATAAAGGACTTTTCTGACTCTGAATGGATTCTTGTTCGTGGAAAGAATTATCAAGTGCAGCAGAATCAGGAGAAGTTTCAGGTCCTGTGGAAACAACAACAAAAAAAAAAGCCCAGAAAGAAATGTTCAAATGCTTGTGCAGAGATTCTGTGAATTCCCTTTCCAATGACTGTCAGAGCCAACACCTGGTGTGTCACAGGCTGCCTGGGCAGCTGGGACATTGGTGCTTCCATGTGCTGCCAAGCCAGGCCAGCTGTAAGTACAGTGTAAGCACTGGGAATCACATCTGCTGCTGCTTGTAGCGTGACAACTGAAGCATGATGCATTCCAACCTGATCTCTACTTGGCATGATACAGAAGATAACAAACCCTTAACACCACAGTGAACAAAGTATCTTTGGAAAAAATGTACTCGTGGAAGTTTCCTTGACATTTCCACCCCAGAAAGTCTCAGAACCAGAGCCACATCCAAGCATTCTCCTTTAACTGAAACAGCAGTGTAAAAAATATCATTTGTCTGTAGGCTTTTTTGGAACACAACATTTCTTAACTCCATGCCAGCTGGATACATTACAGATTTTATGCAGTCACTTAAAAAATTACCTTTTACTCCTAATTGAAACCCTTTTAGTGGGTTCCTTGCTGCCTTCCTGCTGGAATGCAGCCAGCCACTGCTCCTGGATGGCTCTGTGACTAAGCCACATCAGATATCTGACCCTTCCTCTGCCAAAGCATGCTCCAAAGTCTGGTACTCCAGGGCTGAGGCACTCCTGGCTGCCTGCTGTCTCTCTGCAGGAGCTGGCCTGCCTTGGCAGCTCTCCCAGATCACCCTCCAGCTCTGCCAGGCCCTCTCCACACTCAGCGCTCCCTGCCCTCAGCACTGGCTTCCTGCTGCACTGGGGCTTTCCTAAATTCCAAGCTGTCTCTGCACATGGATCATTTTCTCACTCTCCCCCTCCCAGTCCAGATGTACACAGACACCATTTATTCCCCCTTCCATATGCCACAGGCAAGGCATTTATGGTCAATCCACAAGGATGCACAGAGAACAAGGAGTGTGGAGCCAGGGCTGAACAAGGCTGGATATAGATGGTTTTGGCCCTAAAAACAACTACTAGCCAAAACTCCTCTGTTTTCCAATTTTAGCCCTGGATGAGCAAAAATATTTATTCAGCATGGAAGGAAAAAGAGCTGATGTGGTTTCTTAAATCTTTCTTTGCACAAGGAACTCACCTGTGTGAACTTTTGTTTTGTGCTTCTTAAGATTTTTAATGTCTGTGTAGGAATTTCCACACATTTCACAGATAAATGGTCTTTCACCTGGAAAAAATGGTTTGGCAGTGAGAACAATCTTGATGTTGGAAAAAAAATACAGTTAGAGACGTAGGGTGACAGATTTCAATGTTCTATTTTGAAATACAACTTTGTACCTCTTATTTTGTTTGTGTCTCTATTAAAATAAAATTATTTCCAGAATAATAGTTTAAAACAAAGCAAGAGGACACAAACATTTCAAGTAAAGCCTCGACCATACTTCAACACCTACGCTGTAGCACAGATACTACTCTGAAGGCAATTAAAAAATGAATAAATATTTTTTTTACATTATGTTAACACAGAGATACATAAATTAAGAAACTGTTCAAGTACAGACCAATACAGTGTATTTTAAAGGCAAAAGTGTAAAAGTGGATTATAATTTATGGTGCAGGAAGCAGCTTGTCTGAAAACTGACCTGTATGGGACCGAAAATGTTTATTGAGCTCTCCAGAGGAAATAAAACTCTTTTCACAAATGCCACAGATATATGGCTTCTCTCCTAAAGGAAACACAAGCACATTGTTATTTCAATACTGTCATGGTTTGACCCCCTGTGTTCTCAGAGGCGTATCCATGTCTTCAGTGGCCCCACCAGGTGCCAATATTCAAATCTGAGCACTGATTAGTTTGACCACAACCTCCCAAAAAACTCACTTCCTTATCAACCTAGCACAAATACATAAACCAGAATACACATCAAGAACAAAACGAAACGAAACAGAGATAACGTCCAATGGGACAAAAACTGGAATCAGAGGAAGAACGACATGAGGAAGGAGCTGGGTGACAACGCCAAGGTGGATTTGTGGCTCGTGCCCCTCCCCAGCAGCCCGTGGTACCTGTGTGCTTGCGGGAGTGGGTGATGAGCGAGCTGGACACGGCGAAGGCTTTGCCGCAGCTGTCGCACACGTAGGGCTTCTCGCCGGTGTGGCGCCGCACGTGGTACGTCAGCGTGCTGGCCTGCGCAAAGCGCTGCCCGCAGCGGTCACACACGTACGGCTTCTCCCCGCTGTGCTTCCTGCAACAACACGGCCCCGAGTCAAAATGTGCGAGTGACAGTGGTGGGGGCTGCTGCCTGTCCCCAGCAAGCCTCTGCTGTCAAACCCCACTCAACACTCACTGCAGCTGGCTCAGCAACAGAGGCAAGAAAGGCTCTTGTGCAAGGTGTAATTCCAGCAGGGTAACACTGTCACTGAAGGACAAAACCCAGGGAAAGAGGAAAACCACGTGGAGCAGGTGGCTTATAAAGGGGGAACAGGGTTAAGGGCTGGGCAGAGGGGCCTGGTCTCCAGGGGTAGGGGGTGGCAACCAGGGGAAGCAAGCAGTGACAGGGGAAGGAGAAACCCGAGGAAATTGCAACACAAAGTCCATGGAGAGACTGCTTTTCCTTTTGGGAGGGATGACTCTGTGGTGACGAGTTAATGTTTCCAGGGCTCAGGGCTTGTGGATTGATCAAAGGGGAAGAGTTCATGAGATGCTACACATGAGCAGCACCCAGCCTGAGGGACAGTCACAGGGAGGGCTCTGTCCCCTGCTCCTCCTGCCACCACTCTGAGGTAGAGCAAACAGGTGACAACTGAGCGTGGTGTGAGAGCGCCAGGTCCTGGGAGCAGAACTCACGGCACATCCATGGTTCCCATGGCAGCTGGACTGAACCAAGGCCCTGCTCAGGTGACATGCACCACGGGAATTCAGCATGCTCTGCACTTAAGGCTACTGAAGTACAAGATGATTCCTAACATGGGAATATCATTCCTGCTCCTACCAAAACTGCCAAAAGCCCCACGCAGACGGCAGTGAGAACTTCTCTCACTTCCCACCACAGAACTCTCTCCTCTCTGTTGCTACA